TTTTTATCCCGGATTTCGGTGACAGTTTCTGGCACCCCAGATGGGACCTCGCTGAGAGAGACCAGAGGAGTCGGGGACCTGATCGGTTCCAGCCAGCACCGAGGATTTCTCGGGGACACCCATCGATCCCTGATCCATAAGGCTCTTCGTGACGTCCCCTGGATTTTGGTAAGACACTTCTCTTTTGTACTGGGATAAGTGGGTTAGAGTCCCACCAGAAGGAGTGGGTTAGAGTCCCACCAGAAGGAGTGGGTTAGAGTCCCACACGTGGAAAGTGGGTTAGAGTCCCACTGTACAAGCCTGCCTGTCAGACATGACGAAAGCTGCACAGAGTTTGGCTAGAGGATCCTCGTGTATTGGAAGCCTAGGCGTCTGCCCATAAGACATAAGCGAAAGCTATTGCAGGGTTGGACAATTGGTTTTGGAAACAAGAGAACCTATATGCTATAGAGTTCTCAAAGGTAGTGCCTCTAATGAAAAGTTAGAAGTTTTTATGCACTTTATTGTGGTACTGTTTATTTCCTCAATTGAGTATTGTGTGGTAATTAAGAACTGTGTTATATTGTGTGACATGCCTTTATTTATGGTAATAATTGTGGAAAGGTGTGAGTGTGAGTGTGTTTGTAAGTGTGAGACGTGCAATTGAGCACGAAGCGAGTGCGGAGTCTGGATCTGTGGTTCTGTTATCCCGCAAGGGGTGCAGCTGGAGAAGGACGAAGCAATAGACTTGAGTGAGTGATTGATTGTATATTGTGTTAACAAAGTAACTGAACCATGGCATCTAAGCTGACTCATTTATTTAAAAGTAAAAGTATGTGTAATCTGGTTGCAAATGACAAAGTTCTGAAAACTTCTCTGATAAGAAGTTTGTTAACACATTGGGGAGATTTGCATGATGATTTGCAAAAGAGTCAGATGATTGAATATTGTAATCACTGGTGGCCTCTGTATACCCTGGATGATCAGGGAAAATGGCTCATGAATGGGACACTGAACTATAATACCATTTTGCAGTTAATGCTGTTTTATAGAAGAGAAGGGAAATGCCATAAATTGATTTATTTTTCTATTTAAGACAAAGGAAGGATTGGCAGAAGGAATGTAAGTTGATTAGTAGGGATAATTTAGTAATGGCTATAACTTCTGATGATAAAAAGGTGAAAAAGTGTTGTTCAACATGTGAACTTAGAAAGATTGTTTGAAGGAAGAATTGCTTCTACTGAAAAGGATGAAGGGCCGGAATTAGATATATACCCTCCACAGAGAGAACGGTATTGGGGGCGAGAATATAGAGAACAGGTAGAGGAACCTGAGAGTAGTAGAATAGAGGATATGGATGAAGGGTCGTCTGAGTTTGTAATTCATACCCCTGTTTCTCAAAGAATTCGGCAGCAGGTACAAACAATAGCTCTCCTGTGGCAGGGAGTTGACAATGATGGGCCGGTGTATGTGAAAGTGCCTTTTTCAGTGACGGATTTGATGGCTTGGAAGCAGGCAGCAAGAGTGTACAGAAAGGATCCTGAAAGAACAGGCAGAGTAGTAGATACTATCATCAGAACACAGAATCCGGATTGGAGTGATTTACAGGTGATTTTAGCTAATTTGTTAGATGATACAGAAAAACAGATGGTATTGAAGGCTGGCAAAGCACAGGCAGAAGTGACTGTATTGAGTGGGACAACAGGTGGAATATTAGAGCAGAATTTTCTGTCTGGGGATCCGCAGTGGGGATCCAAATAATGTGGAGCACAGAAAAAGACTGAGTCGGTATCAGAAATGGATTTTATATGGAGTTAAACATGCCATGCCTAGGTTTCCTGAACTGGTCTAAATTGTATGAGGTGAGACAAGATAAGAATGAATCTCCCTCAGCATTTCTGGAAAGACTAAAAGAAGCTGCCAGAAAAAAATAAAAACTGATTTTAGAGTAGAAACTCAGGCAGCTCAGATATAGTTGGCTTTGATTTTTATAGGACAATTGGTACCAGATATAAGAAAGAAACCGATTGATAAATTTTTAAAGTATAAAATCTTGGAGGAGTGTGAATCTGAATATAAAACTCTCATTCTACCAGTCAGAAAACCATCGGGTGAATATAGGTTAGTGCAAGACTTCAGAGCAGTGAATCAAATAGTTAAGGGTATATATCTTGTAGCAGCAAATCCTTAACACGCTGTTAACAGCTTTAAAGGAGACTTATCAGTGGTTTACAGTGCTTGATTTAAAACATGCTTTCTTTTGTATACCTTTGGAGAAGGAAAACAGAAAATAGTGTACTTTTGAATGGGAAAATCCACAAACAGGACAAAGATGCAGCTGACATGGACAAGACTACCCCAAGGATTTAAAAATAACCCAATAATTTTTGGAAATCAGCTGGCAAAGGAGCTTGAAACACGGAAACAGGACAAACCAAAACCTGGACATTTGCTTTTACAATATGTGGATGACACACTGATTGCTACAGAAGGAAGATTTACCTGCATACAGGTAACAATAGATCTTTTTAATTTTCTGGCACTGAATGGGTACAAGGTACCCAGGAAAAAAAAAAAAAAAAGAACTCTCCTTTTACATGGGGCTCACAGCAACAACGGGCTGTCACAGAATTGAAACATGCTTTAATGTCTGCACCTGCCTTAGGATTCCTGGGCATAACCAAAGACTTTCAGCTATTTGTTCATGAAAGACAATGCCTGGCACTAGGTGTGCAGACTCAGAAGATGGGAAGCTGGAAACGACCTGTCGGATACTTCTCTAAACAACTGGACACAGTGAGTAAAGGGTGGCTACAGTGCCTTCAAGCTGTTGCTGCAACAGTAATGCTCATACAGGAAGCTCAGAAATTGACTTTGGGAAGCACAGTAACAGTCTATGTCCCACAGATGGTGATAACTGTTTTAGAACAGAAGGGGGGACATTGGCTATCTCTGAGCTGAATGATGAAGTACCAGGTAGTACTGGCTGAACAAGATGATGTGATTCTAAAAACAACTAACCTGGTAAATCCTGCAGTGTTTTAAGTTCCACACAGGAAGAAGAGCAACTGGAGCAGGACTGCTTGACTACTATCGAATATGTTTATTCCAGTCGAGAAGATTTGAAGGATGTATAATTGGAGCAACCAGACTGGGAATTGTATACAGATGGCAGCAGCTTTATGGAGCAAGGAGTTTGATATGTTGGATATGCGGTAACAACAGACACCACAGTTATAGAAGCAAAGGCATTGACGAGTACCATATCAGCTCAGAAATCAGAACTCATTACTTTGATTCGAACCTTAGAATTAAGTGAAACAAAGAAATTAAATATTTAGACAGACTCAAAGTATGCTTTGGGGTGGTACATGTCCATGAAGCTTTGTAGAAAGAAAGGGGATTATTGTCTTCTCAGGGATCAAATATTAAGCATCAAAATTAAATATACAATTATTACAAGCAGTTAAAAAAAACAAATCAGGTAGCAATCACACACTGTAAATCACACCAAATCAGAAAAAAAAAATTAAAAAATTTGGAAACAATTTATCTGTCCGAACACCGAGAAAAATAGCAAAGGAACAAACATTCCAAATGGCATTAATTCCCTCCAAACTATTCCGAGGGAAAGGCCAAAATATTCAGTAGAAAATGAAAATTAGGTCAATTTTTGAATGCTAAGAAAAATTTAGTGAGATGGTGGATAACTCCTCATGGACAAGTAGTAGTTCCACCTTTATTAATGAGAGAAATAATGCAAACCAAACATCAAGAATGTCATTAAGGAGCAGAAGCTTTAGTAACTTATTTATAAAAACTAGTTATAGCTGTTAAAATGATAGACATGGCTAAATTAATAACTGCAAAATGTGAAGTATGTTTAAAAAATAATCCGATAACTAGGAAAAGAGTTCAAATGGGTAAATTAAAATCTGGTACAGAGCCTGGGGATTATTGGCAAGTGGATTTTTCAGAACTACCTAGACAAAATGGGTACCGATACATTCTGGTGGGGGTTGATACTTTTACAGGATGGCCAGAAACTTTTCCCTGTCGCACCACACAAGCCAATGAAGTAGTAAAGTGGTTATTACGAGAAATAATTTCAAGTTTTGGAGTTCCTATTGGAATTTTGTCTGACAGAGGTCCACACTTTGTTGCAGAAATAGTCCAAAATGTTAGCAAAATTCTAGGTATCACTTAGGATTTGCATACTCCATGGAGGCCACAATCAGTGGAAAAGTAGAAAGAATGAACCAAACTTTAAAAAGGCAAATAAGTAAGATCTGTCAAGAGACCAATTTAAAATGGCCTCAAGCATTTCCATTGGCATTATTACGAATCAGAGTACAACCAAGAGTGGAACCTCTGTCAGTCCTTGTGAATTACTGTATGGAAAACCTTATAAGTCCCCAGAACCAAATCCAAACATGCATATAAAAGAAAACCAGGATGTGTATAACTATTTACTTTCTTTAGGAAAAACATTGACTGTGATTTGGAGTGCAGTGGTATGGAATAGACCATTATCCCTGGAAACTCCAGTGCATGACTTTCAACCAGGAGATTATGTCTACGTGAAAACGTGGACTGCCGAACCTTTACAGGAGCATTGGAAAGGACCTTTCCAGATACTGTTAACCACCTTCACAGCCATCAAGACTGCAGAATCAGATGCTTGAATACACTATACCCGAGTGAAGAAAGCACCTACTCCATGGAAAATCATAAGCTGTGACCCAAAGACTTTGAAACTGACTTTGAAACATGTCTAATATTTCATATCAGTTTGTGATTGTTCTCTTTCTATTGGCTTAGAAGGTGATGCTGGTGGAATCATGGGTTGATCTGGTGGCAAGGAACAAAAGGCAAACAGATGTAGAGCAATTAATCCATATTCCCAAGGAAATGCCTGAAGAAAATTTGATGTTAGGATTGATTAAAGGATTCGCCAACTTACAAAATGTCACCCAGATCACAGCTTGTTTACAAATTCCAAGAGCAGTAGGTAAATCTATTCCTTGGGGAATCTTAACTATGAATTTGACCAATTTGGAACACGGAAATGAGACTTTATTGCAAACAAAGGTCAGTGATTCAATGGTATAAACAAGCAAAGGTTATTAAGAAACAATGGAAATAACTAGGAAAAAAAATCAGACTGTAAGAAACTACTAAATTATGACTTTATATCAGGGTCTTAACTTAGTGCTTTGGATCGAGTTCTCCTCCCAGGAGGCCCAAACCCTAATCTAGGATGGTGTTCATATGATGAACAAATTAAAAACAATGTGAGCAGGAGCATCATGGAATAGTAGTATAACAAAACTGGGCAAAGTACCCAAAACCAGGCAAGGTGAGACTCTGTATGGTCTATGTCCATATTCTTACAATTTCAGTACATGGCCAGAACCCCTTAGTTTTTACTTGGAACAGTACCTGGATTAATAGAGTGTTTTCAATCCTTCCCTTTATAGTAGATAAAGGCACTACCTGACAAGAAAAGAAACATGTAGTACCATGGTAGAAATGTGAAAAGGTGTATGATTGCAACAATGCAGACTTAATAATTCAAAGAATTCCTCATTTGGCAGCTGCTTTAAAGTTTGGTTGTTATTGTCGAGGTTTTCATAATAACCTCACCATGACTAGTATCTTTACGCCCAGAAGAGGATACTTTTTTAGTTTTAAGAAATCTACCATTCAGAGTTCAGGGCATTTAGTTTGGGCATTAAGTGATGACACCTGGACAACCCACTTACCAGTACATAGTAAGGTGAAACAAATTAGGCCTGCCAACATTGTGTCCAATTTGGAAGAAATCACCATTCAAGGAATCTCTAGAAAAAATTAAAATTATAACGAATCAAAAGGTCTGAAACAGATGATGAAACCTGGAATGAACCATCAACAGGAGTAAAAATTGTCTGGGCTTTAGAGTCTCTTCTAAACACAATAGCGTCCTATAGAAATAGAGAATGGCTTTATCACTTAACAGGACAAGTAGAAAAATGGGCCAATGTTACAAGAAAAGGATTTAAAGAATTAAACATACAATTACAGGCAACTTCTAGAACGACACTTCAAAACAGGATGACACTAGACATGCTTCTGTTAAAAGAGCATGGAGTATGTGGATATCTCAAAGATAGATTGGATCATTGCTGCATTCATATCCTGAATGTTACATAGGATGTAGAACATGATTTAGATCTGTTAGGCAAAATCAGAAAAGAAACAGAAACAATTTGAGAGAATATGTCAAAAGATTGACTAGGAAAATTTTTAGTGGATTAGGATAGAATTTGAGCTCTTGGCAAATATCCTTAATCAAAATTCTATTTTTGCTATTAATTGTCCTTTAGATGATTATGTTAGTGTATGCCTGTCTTAAAAGACAGTTTATTAATAGGCTTGCAATATATCATAGAATTATGAGAGAAATACCCATTATGCCACCAGACTACAGCCTGCAACCACCGTCATCAGGCAGGACAAACTTTGGCTTCAAAGAAGAAAATGAATAAAAGTGTGAAAGTATTGAAATGATTTTCAACACTTTCAAAGGGGGGAAATGTTACTGATTTTATTATCAACTGAAATTAAATTGTGTTTGGTTTTAATATATGTATAGAATTAAGGGATATTTTAGTAAAAATAATTTATTTTATTGTATTTTGAATCTAGCAACCGACTGCTACTCTAAAATCCCCTGTACAGCCCCGTACCAAGGCCAAAGGGATTGGTCGTAATTGTTTAGTAGGAATGCTTAGAACCTAGACAACAAAATATGAGGTGATTTGTAATCTGATTTATAATACATGTATAGGACTAGAAGAATGCAAGTAGTTGTCAAGGTCCAGGTTAATAGGAACTGAGGGAAGTAACCGTAACAGCTTGCAGGTACCTGCCAAGAAAACTGTGTCCTTAAGCAGAAGGTAATTCCAGCAGGGGGAGATCGCGACCACCGACTCATGGACCACCTACTCACATTACACCCCAGACCCATTTCTAGACATTTCTAACCTCTACTGCGCAGAATCGGAAGTAGGAGGAGAATATGTTAATGATTTCTTGGAAGTTGTATGCTTATGTATTAAGACTTAATGAATATGTAT